GCGCGGCAGCCAGGAGCCTAATTGAGCCTGATTAACGGGAGGAATTAACGGGAGGAATTAACGGGTTTCTAATCGAGGCGGGGTTGGCAGTGGAGATGGGCACGGGCGGGGCAGGGCTGGCAGCTCTGCCCCGGGGTGTGCCAGGGTGTCTCTGGCTGGATCTGCTCCCTGGGGTCTGGATCTGCTCCCTGGGATTGTGGATCTGCTCCTTGGGATTGTGGATTTGCTTCCTGAGTCTGGATCTGCTCCCTGGGATGCTGGATCTGCTCCCTGGGATCTGGATCTGCTCCCTGGGGTCCTGGATCTGCTCCTTGGGATGCTGGGTTTGTTCCCTGGGGTCTGGATCTGCTCCCTGGGGTCTGGATTTGCTCCCTGGATGCTGGATTTGCTCCCTGGGGTCCTGGATTTGCTCCCTGGGGTCCTGGATCTGTCCCCTGGGATGCTGGATTTGTTCCCTGGGATGCTGGATCTGCTCCCTGGGATTGTGGATCTGCTCCCTGGGATGCTGGATTTGTTCCCTGGGATGCTGGATTTGCTCCCTGGGATCTGGATCTGCTCCCTGGGGTCTGGATCTGCTCTCTGGGGTCTGGATCTGCTCCCTGGGATCTGGATCTGCTCCCTGGGATCTGGATCTGCCCCCTGGGATGCTGGATTTGTTCCCTGGGATTGTGGATCTGCTCCCTGGGATTGTGGATCTGCTCCCTGGGATGCTGGATCTGCTCCTTGGGATGCTGAATCTGCTCCCTGGGATGCTGGATCTGTCCCCTGGCATTGTGGATCTGCTCCCTGGGATGCTGGATCTGCTCCCTGGGATGCTGGATCTGCTCCCTGGGATGCTGGATTTGTTCCCTGGGATCGTGGATCTGCTCTCTGGGGTCTGGATGTGCTGATCCCGGCGGGCTGGGAGCTGGGGCTGGCTCTGTGCCCATCCTGCTCCCTCTGGCACAGGGCAATGCCCTGGGAGCTGCTCCTGGGCTGGGCCGAGGCCTCCTGGCTGAATGTTCACTGCTCTCTGGGCTGAATTTAAGCTGTTTTCGGTTGGTTTTCTGTTTGCTTGGCCCATTAACCCACTTTCCAAGCTGGGTTTGCCCTCCTGGCTCTGTCAGAGCCCCACATCCCCCTCAGTCTCTCCGGGACTGGTGGCATTCCAGGTTTTCCTGCAGCCTCCCCTGGATCCAGCGTGGCTTTGGGAAAGCTGGGGAGCATCCCAGGAGAGCCAGGGTGGCACAGCTGGCACAGCACATCAGGGAATTGCAGGGGCTGCAGCTCCCAGCCCTGGAAGAGGCACAAGGACTTCAATCTTCTTTTTTGGCAAGTACAGGGCGCCCCATAATTCTTGTTTTCTATGGAGTGAATCACTCTGGGTTTGTGACCCACTAAAAGAATGGAACTGTAGAACATTGGGCAGTGTTCATGAGTTTTAAAGGTTGTCTTACCCAGCACCTTTTTCCAGGTTGTCTTTTGGTTTTAAAAGAATTGTTTTTAAGCTTGGTTAAAAAACTTTTATTGAAATAATGTATTTAGGAATTTTTGTACCCTAACAGCTTCTGTAGACACTGACAGTGGGGGTTTTTTAGGAGATACTTGCTTAAGCTGAACTGCTGTTGGGCAAAGCTGAATTTGTTGGAGTTTTCTGGAGGTTTTTGGATGGGAAGGAGATTTTTTTGGATGGGAAGGAGGTGTGGAGCGAGTCAGCTGCTGCCTGCTCCAACATCCCACTGCTGGGGCAATTCCAGAGCCACAATTCCCCCTTTTTGTGGGATTTTGTGGTCACTGCAGGCAGTTGGGTGTCTTGGAGCAGCCCCTCTGCACATTCCCCCTGTGAGCACAGTCAAAAAGAAATCCCTGATTATTTTGTCTCCCAAAATTCCGATAAAACCTTGGCTTTGTCCAGGGGAGGGAAGGTCACAAACCCTTCCTGGTGTGCAGAAACCCCCCAGTCCCAGCCAGATGGGGCTGCTGCTCCCAGTTCTGGTTCTGGTTTTGTACTGGTTGTTCTGGTTCTGTCCTGGTTCCCAGTGCCCAGGTGCTCCTGCCCTTGCTGCAGCATTCCCAATTCCCAATTCCCAAATCTCTTTTTTCTCCCCCGTGTGCTCCAACTGCACCGTGCTGAGGTCACAGCCAGCAGGGTGATTCTGCCAGAGGGGTTTTTATGATTTTCTGTTTGTTTTTTAATCTACTGGTTAGATTTGCAGTGCTAACAGAGAAGGATTTTTAAAGCTTTTTTTTTTTTTTTTTGTCCATGCTGGGATCCTGCTGGATCCTAAACCCTGGGAAAGCCAAGAATTCCTCTAACAGTATTTTCTATGCTATTAATTGACTAAAAAACAAATGTTTTCTATAGAGAATCTATTTACAAAATGAGCATTTTAGTGATGAAAACCTGAATGTGTGGCAGGCTGTGGATGTGAGGAATGAGAGCAGAAAGGATTTATGTGCCTCTGTATTTTTGTATTTGCTTCCAATAAACCAATGAACCCAAGCTGCTGCTGCCTCAGCCTCTCTTCCCTGGTGGAGGGGATGGGAATTTTGGGTTTCCAGCTTTGAATATTCCTTGGGAAGGGATTTGGAAACATTACTGGGGAATGAAGGGAAGAGCTGGAAGGTGATGCAGAAAAATGGGGTTTGTTTCCATGGGTTTCAGTGGCAGAGTCACTGCTCTCCCAGCCTCTCAGAGGGAATGAATATTCCACCCCTCTGGAGCAAGGAAATCAGGAATTTTGGATGCAGACAGTAAGTTTAAAAATATTTTAATAAGCTTTTCCAGAATTGCAGACGGGGAAGGGAATAAGAGGAGGGAATTACCGACAGTGCAAATACTGTGTGGAAAAACTGTATCCAACAATCTGTGGGGTTTGTGTGTGTGGGGGGAATTTATAGCACATTGAACCCTCTGGGAAGCCCAAGGATTTCCTGTTGGACTGGATTCCCAACTGTACAGAAGGTTTGGAAAATGAAAGCAAAGTTAGCAGATTTCCAGGATTTTCAATAGCTTTAGTAGTGCAATGACTTATCGAGTTACAGTGGCTGCAGTTTGAAACATGAACAAATATTGTATAAAACACCAGCATAAACAAAAGGTAAATTAGAATTAAATATTCTTAAAGTCTAGCTGAGCATTACATAGTGGATTATGGAATGTCAGGTCTCTTCTAAGTATCACCAAAAAAAAAAATAAAAATAAGGAAAGATAAAAAACAAAGCAACATTCCTGAAAATATACACAGTGCTGGATTTCACACACGAGCCTGAGACAATTCACTTGGAAACTTTCCTATGGAGTTTTGGGAAGTGTTTCCAACTTGCAACCGAGAACAAAGAGCATCAAAATCAAACTGCAAATAGGATTCTGCTTGTGTGGAACCGTCCTTGAGGTGCTGCTCACGACCAGAGGGGAGAGTTAACAGCACCCTCTGCCTCAGGCATTAATCACTGCGTTCCTTAATTAACACAGGCCTCCATTAATGAGCCTCACCCAGAGGCCCTCCAGGAGCAGGGCTGGCAGGCAGAGCTGATCATTCCCCAGGGTTCTGCATCCTCATCCCGGGCCTTGGCTCGCTCCTGGTCACAAAGTCCAAGGGAAGGTCAGTGGAGAAGAAACCGAATCAGCCCCAGCCCTCAGCACTGGCGTTGGGCTCGAAACACCCATTTCAAACCATGCAGTTCAACCATAAAGAGCATAACCCTGCAGAGAAAATAACCAGGGAAGGATGAACAGCACACCTGTGAGGAGGAGGAGGAGGAGGACACGGGGTCAGCAATGGTACAATTAATTGAACAATTAGCCCGGATTTGAACAGAGCAGAAGTGGAGCTGGGCTGAAGAAAACAACCAAACAAAACCAAAGGGAATTGGGATTTCAAACGTTCCTGATTGCTGGATGTAAATCCTACACCCACACCTTCAGTGGTGCTGCTGGTGGGTGCCATCACCCCACTGCCATTGATTGATGAGGAATTTTTGGTTCTCACACCAAGCTCAGTGTGAATTGCTGCTCTCCCCTCTCCAGGTGAGCGTTCCAGCACAGAATTCCAGCATTTCCTAGGCTGGACAAGGGCTCCCAGTGCAGCCTGGTGTGCTGTCAGCAATTCCAGCCAGCCCCAGCTGCATTTCCAACCCCTCAGCCCCTCTGTGCTCCCTGGATCCCAGGGCACAAACCAGGGCACAAACCAGGGCACGGTGCAGCAGCTGCACCTGCCCAAGGTTCAACAACTCCAGAATTTGGCTGCTGCGAGATTTCTGAGTTCCAAACAAAGGGAGAAAGAAAGCAAGGAAATGTGTGCAATGCAAGCAGCATGCTTAACCAAAACTGAGACATCGTTATTTGCCAGAAAACAAGAAAATAAAACACGCTTCCAAAATCAAATGCCTCCTAACCATTCTTATGTTAATTATTTACCAGTTTCTGGGAAGAAAATTAACACGTTGGTGATTAATTTTTAACTCCATTGGTTTGGTTTGGTTTGGTTTGGGTTTTTTTTTTTGTTAGTTTTTTTTTTTAGAAAAGACTTCAGCAAAATAAAAGGAAGCTGACATTAGACTCAGGGTATCAACTCTCTCATAAAAGTTTACCAACTGTACAAGGTAAGAAAATTATACAAGCTTTTGTTTTAAGAAAGGACAGTTCAATCAAGACATAAGTACTGTAAAAATCTTTCAAAGGCTACAAAGAAATCTGGAAAAATACAGAATGTATTTCTTTAGCCCAGATAAAGAATATGGAAAGACATCATTGATGTCAACAATTTTACATAGACAAACCTGACCTGGTTTATTTATTTACCTTTTAAAACTTCTATATATAAAAATAGTTGTGCTCATAACTTTCAGGATTCATGAGGTTTCCTTAATGATGGGATGACATTTTCCTCTCTCCAGCAGGAGTGGAAGTCTCTGTGCCTGCTCTGTCTTGGCTTTTCCTGTTTTATTTTAACTTCCTGCAAAGCCCCAAATGCTTTGTTCACTTGTACACTGATTAAATGCTGTTTTATACATTAAATGCTGTATTAACACATTCTTTAATGTATTAGGCTGGGAATATTTTTGCAGCAACTCACTGCTTTGTTCCTTAAATATTTAAGAGCCTTTTTATCCCAGAACTGCGGCTGCCAGCTCTGAGAAATTCAATATTCTCCTGCTGCTTTTCAGCACCGAAGAAAACCAAATCATCGGATCTTTAGAGCCGACTAGAAGGTCTCAGGAAACAACAACAAAATCTCAGATTGTTTATGGAACTGGACTTTGGAAGGTAACCCATCAACCCTGAAAATTTTAGACACCCAGAATTTACTCCAAGGAATAAAATCAGCTCCCAGCACTCAGTCTTCCAGCGTTTCCAGCTCCTCCAGCTTCCCGTGGGAATTGGTTTCCTGGAAGAGCTCTGAAGCACCCGGGCTCTCCTTCCCATTGCTGTTCATTCTCCTCCTTTTCAGAGGCCTCTCGCCCTTCTCCTCCAGCTCAGGCTCGTTCCTGGGGGTCCCTCTGGGCTCGCTGGGGAGGTTTTCGGGCTCGTAGCCGTTGGTGTCCAGCTCTGGGTGAGTTTTCTTCCCACTGCAGGGTCCATTGGGGTGCAGCCCCTCGGGCCGGGCCTCCTCCTTGCCTGGCACCTCCCCTGGCCCGTTGGCAGAGACACCTGAAGGGAGAGAAACCCTTCAGCAAGGCCCAGCAGCACCCCCTGCCTCAGGAGAGCACAGCCTGGGCTCTAATTCATTGAAAATCGGGGTTTTTCTCCTTCTCACTGAGTGACTGATGTGCACACAACTGACACAACCTATGGAAGTGCTTAAAAGGAACAGAGAATGTCCTGGAATCCCAGGAGGGCTCTCCTCAGGAAAGCAGAATTTGAACTCAAATTCCTTAAAAATCCAGGGGTTTTCTCCTTCT